ACAGATTCCTACCCAAAGAGTCTTTAATAACCTCCTCTGGGACTTTATACCCCCTGGCTAGGGGTAAGGGGACCGCTGTTCCCTAGCTATTACAGTAGGTAGTAAGGGTCTCTGTCTAAATCTCAAGTGGTCTGCGAATGTAGTGCTCTTAGTTCAAGGAGACTCCTCTTGCATAGAGCTTTCAACTCTAAGTTAACCCTATTGCTCCTAGTTGCCTAGGTAGGGTGAGCAGGGACTAACAGAATAGTGTCTTGGTTTATACTGTCACTTGTCCTCTTCCTAGAAGCTGTGACTATAGCCTTTTCCCTAAAAAAAGTGGGTGCCTTACTGAAAAAAGGTCTAACTCTTTTCTAGTATAGAAAATCCAGAGAAAATTGTACGGTCTCGTTCTTGCGGAGACAAGGGCAGCAGGATGTGACAAAAAATGTGACGGTGGCCGATTTTTTTTGTGATTTTTTGTTGAATTGTTGTGGTTGTTTTTGTGGGTGGGTTGTGGTGTTAGCTGCCAGCACTAGTTTTGGTGTTCCCAGTGCTGAGCCCTGCCAAGAATGGTGGATGGCCTGTGCGTGAGGCTGGAAAACTCTGCCGGTCGATGATGGGATGAAAAGGACAACTGCAGGAAGCTGCAGCACCTGCAACAGCCGCTGCAGTGAGCTGCAAATTGAAAGGAAAGTGTATTGAAATGGCACGTTTATGTGTAGAGAGTGCTATGCAGAGCACTATTGCGTTCGACCGCGTGGGCCATCACCCAGATGATAAGTACAAAGAGTATGTCGACACGCTAAAAGGTCGTCTCATAACAACTAACATCTTTGGTACTTTGCATGCGTAAGTTCGCTTAGCTCTTTCTCTTGGGTCGTTCTAACATGAATCACACAGGCAATTTGGAAACATGATTGTCCTTGCTACCGTTATAATGTCTGACAAGAAAAAGCTTCATCAGTTGCTTCCAAGACAGCGAACTCCCATGATGAAAATCTTTTGTAATTTACTCACGCGGACTATCAAAACGTTGCGAAAGGTGGGAGATAATTCGCCAACCCTTACAACGGACGCCGACATACTTGAAAACATCCGAAAGCTTGCGTCTAACAGTTGGCGAAGTTCTAAATCTGATTTTCATGGCCGCAGCTGGAGCGCTCTCACGGATTATAGCCTTCGCTATTGAGTGCATGGCGCCTTGGCAGCATTGAATGGCACTTCTTTAGAGGATAGGGCTCCTCAATGCAACAGTCCCTTCTTATTAGCTCTAACTCTTTTGCTTTTCGATCTTCGCCGAGTCTCTGGGTCCGCATACGCTGTCTTTCTTTGCTGCAACGTTAATTAGGCGGCCGCGTTATGCATATTGTACTTCACCCTTCTCTACTTGCCTTTTAAGGAGAGACTGAGAAATAATGGGTCGCTTTGAAGGCGAAGATAAAGGGTTGGGAACGTAACTACGTGAAAGGGATATGTATTCTACCTTATGTCTTCATATACTACATCCATTATCTAAACACCTACTTAGTTCAAGAGTGACAGGCAGATCGCATGTACCTTCTCCGGATGTACCCGCAAGGTATCTCGATCGAACTTGGAATGTCTGCAACGGGGATGAGGGCATGTCGCTACTGCCGACGTGTCTGCTTCCGCCACGGCTTCCGCGCCCAAGAAATGCCTCTTAACATGCTGCAGATATAAGCTCATAGTCTCGTACTGCGTATATATTTGCCGTGAGGACCAGCCTGGGGGCTTTGAGCATTGCCCTGGGTGTGCTGGGGGGCAGTAGCCTTGCCGTAAGGACCAGCCTGGGAGCTCCGAGCATTGCCTTGAGCGTGCTGAGGAGCAGCAGCCTTGCTATGAGGAGTATTCTTGCGAGAACGACCGGCGTGATGGCTCTGAGTCTGCTGCATTGTAACCTGGTAAAACCGAAGTACTTGTGTTTAATGTTTGAAAGATATGGAAGATCTCAAACATTAGAAGAGAAGGGAAACCATCTAATATATTCCTTTTGAAACAAGTAGGAAGGATTACGGCCACTTCTCAATCCCAAAAGAGCTACTTGAAACGAGGCACGCGAGATTTCGAGGTGTAAGGACGTCGACAATGGTGGTCACGGCCGGCTTGTGCCATCAGCTTGTGCCATCAGGTTGCGCTATTCACTATTCACTATTTGCCTTGCTTATACCTTTGGCCTTGCCCTTTGGCTTTGCTTGTGCCTTTTGCTTTGCTTGTGCCCATTTGCAACGCGGGATAGGACAACGCCGACGAATTGGATGTATGTAGCTGGGGCTGCGAGACAGGGTTTGAGAGAGACTTTGTTGTCATTGCGCCAACGTGCTCAACTGCTTCCACTGCTTCAGGACATGTGACGGGTTGTGCCCGTATTGTAGCCTCCAGTCGGCAACCCTCCCAACCTGACTCAGCCCGGAAATGGCCCACGACATCCGCATCGCGGCCTACACCCCCGTTCCAGGCACCCAAGCACCTTTCGTCCCCGTCTACAGGCGCCAATGGCGGAGTTTTCCTTTTTTTCATCTTCTTTCCGTTTGATATTCGTATATTCGTCACCCATGGGACCCCTTGCTGGTGTTGCCCCGTACGCAATCTTGTACCGTCCGTTGCCGTCCGCTTCCGCCGATCTTGGCCCCCCAGTGGCCGTCCTCCTCAACCTCAAAGGCGTTCACGGCGGCGGCACGTCAACAAGGCCTAGCTTCATGAGCCTGTACGTGGTGCACGCAATCATGTATTGTCAATTTCACGGCTCGAACGGAAGTACCTAATGCTTCGATGAAAAGCAGAAGACTTTGCATTCCCGGCGCTACAGGTCGATGGAACACCGAGCAATGCTCAATACAAGCCGTAGAGTAGACCCCCAAATACGGGCGTCGTACTGCCACAAGAATGATACAAATATTACACCTAATTTCCCATGCTAAGCCCCGTGCGGCTTGTATCCAGATCCGTCAACATCCCCTCCTCGTTGATTATACACTTGATAGGTCTTCGAACGAAGCAAGAAGAATGTAATTAGTCCTACCGTCTATTACACGTTAGCTCCGCTTTATTTTCAAGCCAAGGAGCCTCGAGAACCGAGGCAAACACTTACGATAAGACGGGATCTCTAGACACCACGACGCACTTATCTCTTGCAGCAGCACCTCTTGCGGTTCAAGAAGTCGCACTTCTCCATCTTCTTGAACTTGTACCCAAGCACGCGGCAGAACTGCTCGCACTTGCCAGCGTACCCCCAGCTGCAGTCACTGGTGGCCACGCAGGTAGCGCGGTCCTCGAGGACAGAGCGCAGGGCGATGGACGGGTTGCCCGAGGTTGCCGGCTCGGCGATGGGGGAGGCGAAGGCGCCGAAGGCGAACGTGGCGGCGAGGGCGAGGTTGATGATCTTCATTGTGGGCTTGGGTTTGGAATCGTAAAAAGAGTGTGGGAGCCAAAAGCTCGGAGGAAAGACTGGATGTGCTGAGAGAGTGACTGAAGTTTGATGTGGTGGTTGATGGGAGTGTCTTGGGGAGGAGGCTTTCGCTGGTTTTATAGGACGGGCGAGCTGTTGAGAGGGTTGCTCAGTGTGGTTACCTATTTCGGCTCCTCTCGAGGGACTATCGAGTCAACATTCCTTGAACTCGGGAGTGGAGCGCAGACGGAAGCATGCAGCTCGCTTACCTCTTACTTCGACGCTCTTGCCTTACGACAAGGTAAGATTAGTCCAGAATCCGCGTTTCTGATTCGCCTAAGCCTTTAACAGAGCCACCACCTCGACAGCCCCCAACTTCATTTTGCCTCGGACAGGGAGGCGAAGGGCGGTTGGGGCGTTGAGTTAACACATGTGGCGCAGGGTTGGCCAAGAGTAGACGCGCCCCACCCGTCGCTCTCTGCTCGTATTTCGTGTAACGCTTGAAGTCATCTTCGTATTTCAAGTTAGATCGTTTCACTAATAGCCATAGACAGTTATAGACAAAAATGTTTTTGACAATCAATAGCATAAGGTTGGCTATAGCCAAGCCGGGATTTGTGCGGCGTATCTATCGTATACATCGGGAATAGCCAACATCGAGCGCCTTAGCCCGGAGCACGTGGCGCCATCAGTTCATATCAGCTTGGTAGATTAATTTTCAACGTCCATCTCAATCTCGAAAAGACGGCCATGTGACAAGCTTCCTGGTAAATACTTACTACGGTGACGCCCTCTCGCGATGATAGCGCCGATGTCAGCGTGAAGGTATGAATGTCAAACAATAAGTTGAATAGTTCCTTACTGGTGTGGAGAGTATGGAGGCACTCGCCACTATTCGCATCTTCATCTTGACCGTCTTGCCGTCCGAACCCGACGCAAGATGTGTCGAGTCGTAGGAGAACACCACCGACTCGGTGAACTACTCCGTGCATACACTAGGCTTTGCACCTTCACAAAACTGAAGCATCGCGAGTATGCATATGCTGCCAACGCCTACCATATTATGGATGAAATTTCCCCTCACTAGTCACGGAATCCTTCCACGTCGGGCGCCAGTGAGATAATGAGTCTGAATCCGAGCCAACAAGCTACCCAACAAAGTCGTAAAAGCGCCGAAACGCACTGGTTAACACAGCCAAAACCGTGCACATCTCAATCACCGCCACTGTTGATCTGCCCTCTTTCCTGTCCAGCGGTCGTACCGAAATCATTCGGGTTAATGCCGTTGTAAGTGTTCTGTATGCCCCAACAGTGTTGATATCAACGCCCGCAACAAATGGTGACTGCATATGTACGCTGATGCTGTTCCCAGTTATTTTAACCCCATCTGTGGTCGTGCTGTAGGCATGGCCCATTACCACCCCTCGGTTGTTTTCAATCTTGTCTCGATAGACGACGTTACCTATGTACATCTAGTGCATCTGTCCGCTGTCAGCTAGCTTTAGAAGTGCAGGATGTGCGCCAAACCTGGCTCTTAGCGGTAGAACCCTTAAGCTGCCTGTCAAGATCCAATATCCATTGACTCAACCGTTGTGAAACGTTCTTGTATCCCTCCCTGCCGTCATCCTCGAACCTGCACATGTCGACGTGGTCGGCTTGGATCGACTGCGGATCGATGCCGGGCAGACAAGCTGACTCCTTAGGTACGATAATTCTAATCTTTTTCTAACCCCTGTGTATCGTATACTGCTCGAAGAAACAAGCTACCTTAATAAACTGTCTTGTTTCCGACTAGCCTCGTGCTTTAAGAAACTTTTAGAAAGCATCGTTGATGTTCATAAGCTTTGCTAAATGCTCTTCAAGATCATTCACATCCTCCTTGTGCGTCGTGCTTACACAATCTAGCACTTTAAGCGCCCTCCCAGCCCACTTCGCCTTTAAAGATCCTTCGAACGGTGTTCGAAGAAAGACAACTCCAATCGCCTTCTCCACAAGGCCAGCACTAGCAAGGTCCGCCCCGTGGTGCCTCGACAATGCATTGGCATAAACCAGGCCTCCTAGGCTATAACAAACGAAAATCACCGGGCGAGCTGTCTAGAGTTAGACATGTTGTCAGCTTAGTTGCCGCAAAATAAGGTCTAGCCACACCTAGTACAGAGCCAACCAATGTTGTGGAGCTAGCATTTCCAGACTTCGACCTTGGAAAGCTCTTACGACGAGTTATGGACCTTCCGCTAGAATTGTGGGGATCCATTCTTGAATTCACTGGACCTAGTCCAGCGAGCTCTCTCCTTAACATAGAGTTCAATAGGACTTCCGAACTTCTGCTAATGGCTGTTCCAAACCCAGATCGAGAAATGAATGCAGGATCACGGGTCGTATGACGTTCCATTTTGTCCCAATCGAAGGGTCTTTTTATTGGTGTGGCTGTGAATGTAACGAAGGTATGATTGGCTACAAGGGAAGCCCTATTACTGCAGAGATCCCTAAAGATGCCAACATTGTGAGGTTCTCTATTGGCTGCTTTGGGATTCGAGGACTTCAATTCGAAGGACGCAGCGGGGCCTCTAAGTTCATTGGAGGATGCGGGAAATCTCTTTGGACTGGAGAGATGGCTTCTTCAGGGCTCTTGCAATTAATTATAGGCCTAGATGTAAGTTAGCGCTCTTGTGCATGTGCTTACACTGACATTGCACCAGGGTCTAAAGATCTGCACTCTCGATGTTCAAGACAGGCAAAAGTCATTTAGACAGCAGTTCATGTGGGAGAGAAAAGTACCGCTATCTTCGACCGTTACCCTGAAACCTGGGGCATACTACCAGGAAAGTTCCTGGCTCAGCAAGAAGTTCAATGTGGATGGATTTTCAGGGTGGCATCTGATGAGATATCTTCCGCTAGTGAAAGATGGTAACTTGCTCTACGGTCTTTCCGTATATCGTGCGGCAGGAGGTATTACTGGACTTGAGGCCCATTTCCGCGTGAGTTGCTCGCTGGAGCATGAAGTGGAGGCAGGTTCAATGTGCTCTTGCAGGGTCACATCGTCTTCGATGATTGGGTATAGAGCAGGTTGTACCATTCATTTCCGTCTTGCGAAATTGGAGTACTTTAATTCAGCGTTGGTGCTCTGCGACGAAAATGGTATTTGGGCCCGTCTCTCAAGGTGGGGGAACCCGTTCCGTTAGAGATAGCTATTAACTTGTCACAGTTCCACACTAGCAAAAACAGAATAGCCCGCTTCCAACCATTAATAGAACTCAAGCCAGAACTCTTGCAAACGGGAAAGATATCAGGTCTGTACTACGACGCTCTACGAGTCAGTTCCCAGAGGCTCCAGACCATCGGAGTCATGGAAGATCCTAATCAACCAGTGTACAATACCGACCAAGCAGTAATACCCGAAGACTCGCCAAACCAATATTCTACAAACCTTACCGCTTCAGTATCTGGAACATTTGGTTCAAGTGTTGTTGTAAAGGACATAACCACTATCCAGGCCTGCTATATTCGTGAACGCTGTACGGGACTGGCGTTCACCTTGGCAAAGGGCAGGGTTGAGATTCTGGGGCAATGGTTTGAATGCACTGGCCAACACAGTTTGCTGTTCAACAGCACTAGCGATAGGGATCCTAAAGGGCTTCGGTTTCACCTGCAAGGAGCATCTCACATTGCTGTCGTCAATAACGTGACGATCCTCTACGCCGAGGGTGATAACGGCTCCGTGGAAGGGCTCGATAATGACTCCGCGGAAGGCGCAGTAAAGGATGCTAAGTGCTCTGTAAGTCTATTCCCTGAACGACTGAGCCGCCACTTACATAGGAAAAGGACACTGTTGAATGGATCTACTCAGCAACAGCTGACCAAATACACGTTTGGAAGGTAGCAGTGTAACGGTCTAAGCGTTTAGCACTACCCCTTTTTGCTTAACCTGCTCTAAACAACTTCGGTGACACTGTATACCCAAACTCCCCATTCCCCTTGCAAAATTCTGCGACAGTTCCGTATACAACATGGGTTCCGTTCCCTAGGGCGGAAATAATACTTAGTAAGTCGATGACTTGCGTTGAGTTTGAGGACGGTCAAGGTCGCCTTTGGTTGGTCCTCCACTCCGCCAAGGGAGCCACACGGCTGTCCGGCATGTGGACGGAGAGAGATAAGCAGGGAGAAGGCGCCCAATATGCAACCATGCCATCAACTCGCCCAGTTCAGGATCTGTTCTAGACCCCAACATAATGCGCATCACTGGAGCCTGAAGACGCAAAGGATATTGCTTTCTTGCAGTTCCACTAAATGATTAGTCTATAAGTGGACTGGGCTGAGCATCTGTGACAAGTCAGTGCGTGCTCGGGTTTGGTCATGTTGAAGGTGTGATGTGGTTGTGAAGGCGTCGGGAGGGTCGCAGAACGGGAGAGCAAGCCGCTGATGCATGGCTGCAGCTAGGGCAAGAGAGCAACGGACGATGACTGGAGTAAGGCGTTCACAATAACCCAGCTCAGCCTACACCGCAAATCTTGAGCCTATGCCAGATATGTCATCTAGTCACTGTCCGTGATGCACATTGGGAATGGTCGGAAGGACGCGTATTATGAGTTGCACCTTGCGCATATTTTATCAAGACCTCGATGCCATAGTGGACAAAAATTGCTGAAGTTGTACATTTAGGATTTGTTGTTACACACAGGTAATATCTACAATAACGCCTACGTCCCCAGGATAGATAGATTGCACAATTGCAACGCCGCCTTCCTCGTCAGATTGAAGGTAGTCTTCCGCGAGAGTTTGAAGCAAGTTGTATTGGAGTTTTCCTTTGACATTGGCGACCCAAGGCACTTTGTCCCTCTGAACAACCATGCACCTTGTCCACAGGGCAGACATACACTCGCTTATCTTAATTTTCCCAGTAAGGCCAAATACACGACCAAAAAGCTCATCCTGCATCCAGATAACTGGAAGGTAACGTGTCTCGAAAGATTGGTAATAAGCGCGGATGTTAATGTCACGTTGCAAGCTAAACACAGGGACCCATCCACAGGACGAGGGGAGGCTGTTCGAGACATGCGGAGCGCATACCATCCACTGAGAAGCAGTGACAATTGCCCTTACTGTGTCTAGTGGGTAGTCCTGCTAGAGTTCGTCGATTGTTTGATCCTCAGGGTAACCGTCACCTCCCTCGAGTCTAGATTTTGATCCAGATTGGAAGTCATAGAACGGGCAGAAATGATGACCAGTTGCTACTGCAAACACATGGAATTGGTAATTGGAGCCGTATTGTGCGACAAAGCTGCACGGGTCTTGCAGCCTTGATTCCAGAAGGCGAAGATCCGCACCAAAAAAGCGTAGAGTAATGTTGTAGCTTGTCATTATGTCGATGTCGTTTTTATCCTTTAGTATGTCGTCTAGAAGGTCCATATGTACGTCTTTTTCCCAAGGTGACAGGTTACACTTTAGGGCGACAAGAAGCTTAGCGATATCAAAAGGACGAAGCATTGTAAGGAGGGTACGCCTAAAAGGCTCAACATATTGAAAGATGTGCGTTAGGTGTGCCATCGTAGCTCTACTACATCCTCCTTAGGAGGAATTTAGTTAAATACGTTCTGGCTGTAAGCACTGAGCTTAAAGCCGCCCTAAGATGCTCTCTCAGTGCATGTCGCTCAACCAATCGATCTATCTGTCCCACATTAACCGCTCATCCAACAATGTTGCAGTTATTATTAGTAGTGGCGTGGCGTGGCCATGGTGTAGATGAAACTGAAACACGGCGGCTATTCCGTTTCTTTTGGCCGCACGGGTGCATCGGATGCCTGGAAACCAATGCCCGGAAACCGGATTTGAGACCCTGGAATTACGTAACAGGATACCAGAAATGGGAGGCCCACGACTGGCCCAAACTGACAATCGGACGAGAGGCCCAATTTTCCGTGTGCTATGGTCGTATGTGCTTGTTCATGTGCTGATTTCATATATAAACCGCATGTGTAACGTTGAAGCC